GGTTTTTCTTCAAGAAACCCACCTATCACACTCTACCAATACCCGTATAAACTCTTATCGTTACCCCAAGTGGTACTACAGCCTCTCAGACTCAAACAGAACTAGGGGAGTTGCCATTGGTTTCCGCAGGGGGTGATTGCGGTGTTGTATCAGCATCCTGTGGCTAGGGTGAGGATTAACGGAGTGCTCGGCCCCCCCTTCTCCATGAGAAATGGTACCAGACAAGGGTGCCCTTTATCCCCCCTGCTGTTTGCCATCTCATTGGAACCTTTTCTATCCACCATTACTCGTAACATTAACATCCAGGGGGTGCAGTTGGGCCCTAGGGAGCACAAATATGCAGCTTACGCAGACGACATCTTATTCTATGTCAGAAATCCCCGCATCTCCCTCCCAAACCTATTAGAGGCATTAAAAAACTATAATCTCGTGTCAAATTTTAAAATGAACACCTCAAAATCCACCATTCTTAATGGTCCCTACCGCAGAAGTAAGAGATCTGAAATCTCACTTTCCGTTTTCTTGGCAGCTGCACAAACTGAAATGCCTTGGAATTTATTACTTCTGGGTAGGATAGGTGCCATCAAAATGAATGTGTTGCCCAGATTGCTCTTTCTTTTCCAAATGCTTCCCATGGGAGTCCCACCCTCTTATTTTGCATTGATACGATCCTTTGTCTCTAAATTTATCTGGAAAAATAGAAGAGCAAGGATCTCTTATAAAACCTTAACCAGACCAAGATCGCTAGGAGGAGTTTCCCTCCCTGACTTTAGGAGGTACTACAGATCTGCATCTCTGGCCAGACTAATAGATTGGCATTACGCTCAAGAGTCAAAATTGTGGGTAGAGATGGAATTTGCCATGTGTCGGACAGCCTTACATAGGTGCTGTATTCCGAAACAATATAGACAGTTGTCCGACGCCACGCATCCCTTGACGGACACGACACTGTACATTTGGGACGCACTGCACTCTGAACAGAAATGGTCATACAACTCCCCCATGATGCCTTTACTAGGTCATTCATATTTCACACCGGGACTTCTAGACGGGGTACCGCACATGGTTACAAACGGAATCTGATTCTGACCCTTTATTACACCAGGTTTTACAGGAGGGGAAGATTAAACCTGTGTCCTCACTATGTTCCACGCCCCCAGACCTACCTTCATGGATGCATGGCGTTATAAACAACTGTCACACTTTGTGCAACAGCTTCCTACACCTATACGATCCAGACAGGAACTTAACCCGATGGAACTGCTTTTTCCCGACGGTATCGCTCCCACTAAAAATATCTCCGCACTGTACAATACTCTGTCCCACCTAGAGGCCACCTCTCATCCGCCATACCTGACACAATGGGAGATGGAGCTGGACAGTCCTCTTTCTGAGAGACGCAAAGCTTGCGTGTTGGCTTTCTCGAGAGGCCTGTCCAGATCCTCACATATACAGGAACTCCATTATAAACTGCTGAGCCGTTGGTATTACATGCCCCAACGAATGCACCAGATTGACAGCTCTACATCTCCATTGTGTTGGAGGGGCTGCGGACAGGTGGCATCACACGCCCAAATATGGTGGCAATGTCCTAAAATAATTCCCTATTGGCAGGAGATTGCTGCGGAAATACTGAACATTCAGGGAACGACTGTGCAGCTAGACCCATGGGAGATGCTGTTCCATGGATCTGAGGGTTCAATGGGCAGATATGCCCGCTCTATTACACCACAACTGCTTAACGCGGCAAAACTTTTGATTCCAGCCAAATGGAAGAGTGCATCTGTGCCCGCCTTAGGAGAATGGTTGGATAAGGTGGAACAGATTAATTGCATGGAAGAACTTACCCTCATTGGCTTGGATCAAAAAGAGCGTTTATCGAAAACGTGGGCTTGTTGGCTGGCATATAAAACGACCCCATTTTACCTAGCCAAGAAAATATTAGTCCAATGAGGTGGGACTTTGGTACGGCTGGGAACCATACTATATATACATTGTATGTCCTTGAGTAATAGATAGATCTTTTATATCCATTTATGTTTCCATACTCTTACCTGGGGTTCTTGCTCAATGGACTGTAGGGGCGAAGTGGGTACCGGAAATATGTAAAGCACTGCCATAGTGACTGATTGTCAACCTTTCTCTGTATGTCTATGTGAAGTACCCCTGTATTTCTCTATGTGAAAATGTTTCAATAAAAACTTATTATAAAAAAAAAAATTGATGTAATTGATGTGCATATCTACTTTGGGTTGCTGGTAGGAATGCACTAATACCATTTTTTTTTCAGACCAAGTAGCGATACTTTTCCTGAAGTATTCGCAAATCCCAATTACCGATACCTTCTTTTTAGCGTCATATGACAGTTTTTCAAAAGAAAGACAAATTAATTTAGGATAGTGGTGGAGCGCCGGGGCCTGGTCACAACTGCAGCCGCTGTGACCCTGGTAGTTCTGCCACTGACTCCAAACTGTAGAGGGACTACAAATCCCAGTGATACATTATACAGCAATGCAGAATACCACCAGCTATAGAGGACTACAAATCCCAGCATTACATCATACAGCTATGCAGAATGGTACTGGCTATAGGGGACTACAAATCCCAGCAATACATTATACAGCAATGCAGAATACCACCTGCTATAGAGGCCTACAAATCCCAGCAATACATTATACAGCAATGCAAAATAATATAAAGCTACATACTCTGTGTTGCTCCGGGGTGGCAGCCTGATGTATGCAGGGCCTCAGGTGAGTTGTGGATGGTCTCAGATGAGCTGCGGGGTCTCAGGTGGCTGTGTGGGTATATAGGTGGGCTGTGCAGGCTCTCAGGAGGCTGTGCAGGGTCTCGGGTGGGCTGCGCGGGCTCTCAGGTGGACTGATCGGGCTCTCAGGTGGGCTGACCAGGGATCTGGATGGTGGTGTGGACGGCATGGTCCCACAGTGAGAAGGTGGAGGAGATGTGCGAGCTGGTGCTGTAAGCAGCACCCTAAGGTCCCCAGAAGGCTGACGTGAGGTCCCCAGCAAGCACGGAACCTTACGGCAGCTGCTCCTGTTTTAAATTTACAGCGCCTGTATCGGTGTAAATACCCAGTACCGATCGGTGCATCCCTATTAAAAATGCATTCAAGTACCCTAACTATTAACACAAATGTAGCTTATTTGTGCATCAGCTGTAGATCCTCAAATCATCTTTGAATTGGTGCCGACACTGTCCTTCCTTTTGGGGGATGGCTACCATTGTTCCCCATGGTCCCTGTGTGTCTTGTAAAGTAGACACCACTCCAAGCTCACTCCCATGATAAGACTATAATTTCTATACAAATTAGTAAACTAAATGTAAGATTGTAGACCATCACGGCAGGAAGCTTGGCGCTGTGGCTACTTTACAACAAACAGGGACCATAGGGAACAAAAGTAGCCACCATGCAGATTTGAGAATCTGCAGCTAAGTGATATACAAATAAGTTACAGTTTTGTTAGTAGGTAAGGTACTTTGATGCATTAAGATTTAAACAGAGGTTCCTTACAAGCTTCAGAGGATTCCTTTTGCCGTTGTAAAGGTAGGTTACCAGAGGAAGTGGTTAGATTTTTGTAGTGAGCAACCTGAAGTCCTTAAACCAGCATATCATGTTAAAGTCTTCTGAATATTTAATCTGTGACATTATTAGGCTTTTTCTTTGTCAATATCTACTGGAGGGTTAAGCACAGAGAGCAGTTCACAACAAACCAGTCCATGCAAAAGGTCTATGTAAGAACATCTTTATTCTCCCGTAATGCTGTTGCAACTCCTGTAATGCTAGGTTGCAGCTATTAAATCCAGTTTAATATCAGGGCCCTATATATGTGAAATAAAATGCAATCTCTATCCATATTAAATCAAATTAGACAGATATGTACAGGTCTGACATGCAGGACTACACTCCCACTAAACTATACCTCATTTAAATAGCAGTTGCCAGAGGGAGTGACCAGTTGTTAAACCTAATGTTTCTCCATTAACCCCCTGCACACTGCAAACAAATTCTGCATTTATACTGGGATGCGTGGCTTGTATATATTGCAAAACATGCTGTCACACACACATTTAATTCAGCAGTGACGGATCGCTGTAAAGGATAACTGCATCAAAAATATATATTTTGCAAATTGGCCAGGAAAACAAACCACTGCAGATAGGTAGTTGTTAAAATCTGTCCGTAGAAGTAACTCTGGAGTTTTCGACATCGCCGAGATCACTTGTAAACAAACGAGCAGTTTCCCCGCTGTACATTTAGCCCTGCTTGCCCGAAGCAGGGCTAAATGTAGAAAACTACCCACCTGGCGCCCGGAACTGCATGTCCTGGGTGTCGGGCGATAGGAATTCCACACCCCTGCCGCCCCTCTGTTCCCTGCCACCTCGATGCCAGGCCTCGGTTGGCCTTGTGGGATATGCGGCCCTGGGTAGATTTGCCAAAAAAACCCTACCGTATGGATATAGTTATTCTTAAACTCTTTGCATTCTTAAAAGTAATTTTGAGTCTGTTGTAGAAAATGCATTAAGAATCCTACATGGAACTATTTATTTGCCTGCAAAGTACACCTAAAATATAATGATGTATGTATAATGATTGATTTATGAGCATAGGAATTTCCGGTTCTCCTCTGCTCCATCTAGTCGTGATAGTGATGTGTGAATGGCATTCGCCCAGTTATACACCGGGCACAGGGATGGATATATCTATATCTATATATCTATATATCTATAGATATATAATCTCATTGGGATTTGATGTTTTTATGAACCAAAAAAAGGAAAACTACAAATAATTAATTGGTTACATTTTATAAGACCGAATTCTACGGGCCTTAGCAAATTCTTTCTTCTGATACTATTACTAACTTGTTTCCTTTGTTTTCAGTAAGAATGCTCACGATGGCCAGTGTACTTAACTGCTGATGCTTTTGTATATTCATATTGCTTAGTAACCATATTAATTGCCTTTTTCTGCTTTGTAGGCAATGGTTGAGACTGTTAACAATCTCCTCCAACCGCAAGCTCAGAATGCATGGCAAGACCTGACTGCAAAGGACCAGCTGCGAGCAGCCACCATGCTTCTTGACACAGTTGAAGAAGGAGCTTTTGTGTTGGCTGATAATCTCCTAAAAACAGACATTGTGAGGGAAAACACAGACAATATTCGTAAGTAAAATGTGGATAAAACATGGTTCATTTACTAATTTCTTAGTATGTTTGAAAAATATAAGTATTCACATTAGCACAAGGATGCTACAAAATGTATATAAAATTGTGGATCATTTTGGCAAGCTATAAAACTTTAATTGGCATACATGGAATAATTGAAATGAGATCACACTTTATCTGCACCTTCAAGATACTGAATTACATTCATGTGTTTTAACACTAATTTAATACCAAATTCTAGGCCAGTGGGAAAACTAAAATAGAGGAACATTGTACAACTAATATATCCCTTTTCTTCTTTCTTCATGCTGAGCAAGTTTGATGGGAGCTGTAGATTGAGAAGCTGTTTACAGTAACCTATTCACACCCCTATGGATAATATATATGGCTACAAAACAATAATTTATATAACTAAAGACATAGAAAAATGGTTATGTTTCTCCTCGTTTAATATAAGAGTGCTATTTTATGAAGAAAAAGGCTTCTCTAGCTATGGGTCTGTTGCTGTTTCACTGTGATCTCTATGATGCCCAGTTGGGGGCAGATTAAAATGTTTTCAATGCCATCTTTCTTAGAACATGGTAGTATTTATCTGTTGATGCTACCCTGGGGACACATGGGTGATAAAGCCCTGCCCTGTAATATGTAAGAAGTGATCTGAAAATCATATGGTCTTAGAGATATAACAGACCATTTGTACAGTACATACATTAACCCTTTTGCTGCTAGAGCTTTTTTGTGGGGGGGGGGGAGTGCACACGTTAAAAGCCACATTTTAGACCTGATAATGATTTAAATACCCCAGAATTATATATTTCCTGGAAGCAGAGACCCTGTAGATTAAAATGGTGGCAGTAGCAAATTTTTATGTTGCACGATATTAGTGCAACTCTATCAAACCTAAAATACACTTTCATTAATTTTAGTGCACAAAAACACAACATAATACCCATTTTTTTTGAAAAATATAAAAGAGGAGGTTGCACCGAGTAAACAGGTACCCAACATGCCAAGCTTAAAAATGTAGTGCACCTGTGAATTGGTGAAAAACTAAGGTACCCCAAATTGTCCATAGGCAACACTTTTAGGAGCTTGTACAAGTCATCATTTAGAAATGACTGTGAATATCGGCGCTATAATTATTTCTCTAATTCAAACGTATGCAGAGATACCTAACGTGTGGCACAACCGTTGTTTTCATACATGTGTGCGCCTGACACGTGTTTGCATTAGTTGAAGCGGGGATGGGGGACTTTCAAATTTTTTGGGGGGTGTTTTTTCAGGCTCCCTACTGCTTTCAGTAAAGAAAAAAAAATCACAGATGACATTAACCCTTCCTGGTCCTGCAGTGTTGTTGTGAGTATCCCTTGTGGGAAAACCTCACTTGCATTCTAATTATACACTTCTTATACACTTTTCAGAGTGTGGCACCTTCCTATTTTTGTATCCAGGGAATAATTTTCTGCTTCTATATCTGAGTTTATAGGGAAACTTTCATCCATCTTAGCAGACTCAAACCGCAGGGTCTACAAGTATGCATCCATGCCCTCTCCTCCAGAGTTGTTTTCTGATTTTCCTCTAGCTGCAGCTGTTTCTGCACAATCAGTTGAGGCTAAAGAGGAATGTACCTTATCTGTGTTTGATGACTTGGTACATGAGGACTCCAAAGAATAAATTGTATTTTAACATTTGAAATTAGGATACCACTTATTTTATATTTGTTCCCATTCTCATTGCATAACTTAAAAAATGTTTTCAAAATTGCTGCTTACCTACACAAATGCTTTTACTTGCTTAAAATTATACTTGGCTTCCCCACTATGTAATGTTAAGGAAGGCAGATATCATAGTTGGCAGTTTTCATTATAAGCTGTAAACTAGATTTGAACACTGTCTGTGCTAAACAGGTTCAAATATCTAAAAGCATTGTATGTTATTGAAAGAAGGCTCAGTCTCTCCCTCAGTTTGTCCCTCTAGTTTTAGTTCAATCTGACTTTATTAAAGTTTCAATTACATTTGAGAAAGGTGAATACACAGGTTCACCGAAACAAAAGGACAATACAACATCACAAGGTAACAATAAGTATTGGAGTGGATAGCATCAATAGTTTACACTGCAATATATCGAAGACAGAATTATATCAAAATGCCAGGGGCAGGTTGCAGAATGAGCATCTCAACATAGAGCTAGGGACCTTAGTGTCAATCCTGACCAAGGGATCATCAGCGCCATCCTACCGCAGTCCCCCCTATAGTGGGTCCCAGCTGTAAGGTACGTGACATATTGGAAGGGTGTACTTATGGAGTTCCCTAGGCCGTGGCGTGCAATATGGAGATGACTGGCAGTAGTACCAATAACATAAGGGTTAAGGAGAAGGACAAGGGGGAGGGGTACAGGCATTAGGAAGGAAAGGTGGGAAAAACAGACCTGTTGAAGTAGAGGAAGGGACAGGTATGGGTACAGCGGACGCCCACCTCCTGCCAGGCAGCTAGGTGGTGTTCGTATGTGGACATATCAAGGTGAGAGGGCTGCCAGGAAACCGTCCGAGTTTCGGAAGACCAGCCAGGCGGACCAGGTGTGTACAGATTTATCTCCTGCATCTCGTTCCCCCGCCAAGAGGTCTTCCAAGTCGGCAATACGGTCCATCTCCACTACCCACTCCACAATGGTCGCGGTGCATTTGTGCGCCAGTGGCGAGGTATCACGGTCCTGGCTGCCGTGAGGAAGTGCCTGAGGAGGCCCTTTGCCGTTTTAAGTGATTCAGGGATCATGGACCGTAACAGGATCTTAGGGTCATTTGCAATGTCAGTTCCGGTCACTCTGAGGTATATCCTCAACACCCCCTGCCAAAACCCCTGAAGCTGAGGGCAACTCCACCATATGCGAGTCATGTTGCCTTGGGCGCCTTTACAACACCAGCAGGAGTCCGATACTGAAGGCTAGTATTGATGGAGGACCACAGGGCATCTGTACCATATGGTAAGTATTTTAAGGTTCTTTTCCTGGGCCTTACTGGCGACGGAGAGAGAATGAGTGAGGGGGAATTACTTTTCCCAGTCAGCTATCGTGATGGAGGTACCAAGTTCACGATCCCAAACAGAGGTATAGGTAGGTAAATTGTGGGAGGTCAGCAGGGAGAGAATAGAGTAAATGATGGAGATGGCGTGAGGGGGGTGAAGTCTAAGAGGATGGAGTCAAAGGCCGTCTGCTCCCCATCAAAGGCGTTTGGGCCAGAGAAAGTGGCGATAAAGGAACAAAACTGTCCCTCCGCCAACCATTTCCCAGGCCCTGGACCAGAGTGAGCCTCTACCGCCAGAGTGTGATCCTGCAACTATGAGACCATCCGGCGATGGTAGGCCTTCATCCACCTGCCAAAGGAGGTTCCTGTCAGGGGTTCCCAAAGGATGGGTTCCCAAACAGAGGGGTCATCGGGCCTACATAGGCCTATAAGGCATGGTGCTTGACATAACGGTCCCAGGATGTCACTGGGGGTAAGAGCACCCTTTGCCCAAGTAGAAGGAGGGTAAGCATCATACTGGAAAATCCTCTAACGTAAACTCAGAGTTGAAACCTGAGACACAGTTCTGCTGTAAATCCTGAACTCACAAATCCTCGAAAACCCATGAGGAAATCCTCCTTGCAAAGAGGGGGTGCCTTCACTTATCAGGGGGGACGACGACACACATCTGTTAGCCTTTGCGGCCACCTGGTCTCGCAGGCATTTCAGATATTTGAGTCCAGAACATTGTATTCAGGAACTGCAATCTAGAATTTATAAATAACTATGTCCTTTCCATTTCATGTTGTCAGGCCTGCCAGTGTCCCTGAAAACATTAGTGGCCCTAATCCCTGCTGTGGCGCAGCTCTTATCTCAAGGGGTCATAGCCACTGTTTTATTGAGAAAACTAAAAGCGTGATAAACCACAAGATAGCAACCAATGCAACACTAAGAGGAATAAAAACCAACAAGCTGCCTTAATAAAATTAACTATATACAGAGACAAAACTTAACTAATCTGAGAACCTAACAGAGCTACAGTATACACAGTGATGAACAAACCAAATGTTATACAGAGCTGAGGAAGTAGTTGATTTATTATTGGTTAAAGGGCAGCATTAAAAATGCACAATTTCTTTACATACCATCCTAGGGGGTGCCCTGAACTTTCCTCTGAAGTGATGCATGTAGGATGTGTACAAAGTTCCCAAAGAGGCTGGTTTTGTAACAAAAGTTTTTTATTAAATTTCCGTAAATAGCGTAGACAGTACACATAGGTTTCAGTAGATATGGTTTTCACATAGGTAGGTTGGGTAAATAAAAAAGAAGGTACAAAATGATCATACATGCTACATGGTTATCTACCGCAAGTAAAGAGTATTGAAACTAAAATATTTTGAAGGAGAGAGGAATAAAAGGAAGGGGGAGGAAGGGTGGGGTGGGTAGTGAGTCCATCAGTTTGGTGTATTGTTGGTTGCATTGCGAAGTTTTAATTTTGTGGGTGACCCCACGTCTTTATTTCTGCGTAGGGTCCCCCTTCAAATGGAGATCCCTGACATCTGCTAGAGATGTCAAAAGACAAAGGCACCCTCCTTTATCTCTGGAGGCTGTGCCCGTAAATTCACCCTTTCTGGTCCCAAGTGCCTAGACTTAAGGAGAATATCTCAGGCCACACTCTCCAGTTCCACCCAGCAAAGTTCCTCCTATACCTGGGAGACATGTAGCTCACTGCATATAAGCACTCTCTACCCTTTCATCTGCTTACAGAAGAACCCCAGGAAATGTAAACATTAATTAATCTACTCATCTGATCTTCAATCCTGCGGCAGTCAGCGCTCACCTCTCTCCAACAGACACCCCCCCCCTCCCGTTCTGGTGGTGGAATGTCCCTTGGTGTCTTTACATCGAATTACAGCTGCATTAGACGTGATGATGTCTTGGGTACTAAGACTGCCGGAGCCTAGGGGAGAAGAGGCTGCAGAGACCGGTCTAGCAACTAAGTGGGACCAAAGATCAGAAGAAGAATGGAAGAATTCACATCAGGAATGATAATATGACCCCAAATATTTGCACATGGTCCAACTAGATGTTGTTCAAGCTTTCTTACATA